ATCTTCGCGGTCATCTGAGCCGTGGGCATGAAAAGTGGGCTTTGATTGAACCCATGTTTCATCATTTTTGCCATGATTTTCATGGGGATTTCAATGGATTTAAGCCATGAATTTATGGGAATTTAACCATCAGTCTCCAACAATCATTGGGCCAGTTGTGGATGGCAATGGCGACACGGCGACCATCCCTTGAGGCCGAAAGCAATTCCCCTGGATTTTGTCCCGTCCTTAAAATTGCTCGAATTTGCAGTAAATGCCCAATGTGATATCATTTATTTATATATAAAAAAAAATATATATATATATATGCATATACACGTACATATCTATATATATACATATATATATATATATATGTATTTACATACATACACATATGTCCTTAAAATTCCCAGTATATCCACATGTTTGTAGCTAAACAAGTCATTCATATCCATTAATCAGATTGCCGGGCACCTCCTGTTTCATCGAAGCCATCTCCTCCTGGCCGTGTCGAAAAAGAACATCAGGCGCCTTGAGGGACGGTCATGTTCAGCCCAGGCATCAATATGTTTGTGTGTAGATATCTATAATTGTATATGTATATGTCAATTTATATACGATAGTGCATATATATATATATATATATGTATGTATGTATATATATATATAATGATATGTATACATAATACATATACATCTACACGTGCAAATTCACATAGATATACATATACCTGTACCTGTGCATATACCTATAGGACCTATACATGTAATTTTACATACACACACAGTATCATGCGCCACGTATTTAAAAAAAATAGATAAATAACTACTTACATAACTAAATCAGTACAAATAAAAATAGCTAGCTGCCTACCAACGAAAACATATATATCTATATATCTTCATCATGTGCATATCTGTATAGTCGAATGTTAGATTTCACATTCCCGCTCCAGCTCAAAGGTACGTGTCTCCCTCAAAAAAAAGTTTTGCCCTAGATTTAGTATATTATATGGTTGGGATTGCATAGGTATATATATGATGAAGCTCAAAGCTACCTTGCTGGCTCACTGGGCTCACTGCCTCCTTGCTAGCTCAAAGCTACCTTGCTGGCTCAGTGCCACGTAGCTGGCTCAGTGCCACGTAGCTGGCTTAATGCTTGGTAGCTGGCTCAGCGCCTCGTAGCTGGCTCAGCGCCTCGTAGCTGGCTCAGCGCCTCGTAGCTGGCTCAATTTTTTTAGCGAAAAAAAAAACTCCGCAAAAATTGAGCCGGCTACATGCCCTTGAGCCGGCTCGATGGCCCGCCATCAACCCGGCCAATACATAGTTAGTATTCGTTTTGATGCTCTCACATTCGTCCGCCAGCTCAACGTGACGTAGCTGGCTCAATTTGTTTGGCGTTTTTTTTGGGGGGGGCTAAAAAAAATGAGCCAGCTCGATGCCATTGAGCTAGCTCGATGTCTCTGAGCTAGAGCGATGTGTTTGAGCTAGCTCGATGGTGCTGAGCCAGCTCGTTGCAGTTGAGCGAGCTCGCAGAAACTTCCCAATGTGTTAAATTGCCAGGTTCTGTCCCCACTGATTAGTTTAGTACTAGATATGGTACAAGCGCCGTACTTAAGTCACATCAGGCGGGAAAAGTCACATCATCCCCATGGCACGGCGGCGATACGGAGAAGTCACATCAGGTAGTGGAAAGTCACATCAGGGAAGAAGAATCACCATGGCACAGCCTGTTTCATCTATAATTGGAGATGTAGTTAAAAGTAGCCGAAGCATTGCGCACAGCGATGATTTTGAAGGGCGCAAGTTGGTACAAACAAATTTTCGGCAGCTAATCCTATTGGATTTGAATATATTATATTGATGTCCTGCGTCGCGTGACCAAATCAAACCCCTATTGGTACAGCCTCAAATTTCTTGCAATGCAAATGGATTAGCTGTAGCAAATCCTATTGGCAGGGCTATGATCTAGGATGATATAAGGATATGGGGGTCCCTTGTTTTCCGCAACCAAATCTATGGCTGGCGCGATGTGCATCAATGTCGTGGACAGCTCTCAAGAAGTTTGTTGTCCTATTCACCCAGGAATTACGAATTGGAAAAACCTTCATTCCATTGCGGGCGGAAAGCGTGGCAGGTTTTGTTGGTGCTCCGTCTACGCCGTCTGTTGTGTCTGTTCCGTCTTGCGCCGTCTTGCCGTCTGCGCCGTCTTGCGAGATGGTGCGAGATGGCGTAGATGGTGAGCACAGCGACACAACCGCGCTATGCGACCGCAATGTTTCATTCCAACCAGCCAGAAACATTCCCTCTCTCTGCTGGTGTCTCCCGCCCGTACCTCCGGTCAGCGCCAAACAAGGCGACCGAGACTGTTATTTTCTGTTTCGGCAAAATGTTTGCACGAGCGACAGCAGGAGGAAGCAGCAGCAGCAGCAGGAGGAAGCAGCAGCAGGAGGAAGCAACAGCAGCAGGAGGCAGAGGTGACTGTCAAAGACATACCCCTGATGAAATCGAGCCAGCTACATGTTTTGAGCTAGCTCGAAAAAAATGGAAGATTCTGGATTCCACCATTCTATATAGTATACATGCATACATGTGTATATATATATATTGTTATTACTATCTATGTCTGTTGTTGCTGTTGCTGTTGTTGTTGTTATTATTATTTATCATGATTGTCATAAACGTATGATGTACACCTATACACAATACATCACAATATCCACGTCGGACTTGCTTGGCCAGGTGAATCTCTCAGATCGAATACAGAATCTGCCAGAGAATTGAATAAAACAAGACCTTTTCGATTAGTTTGAACCTCCATTGTTGCTGGTAATTCTACTACAGACTTGACATTTGTTTGAAGTTTTGAAGACAAAAATCCATGTTTTACGTCCAAAAATCTCTGGCACTTTCCGTCCTGGTACTCGATGGGCGGCCTCTCCCTGGCGGCACCGATTTCGCTCCGGGGCGGGTTTTGTCTATGGGGTAACCATCCCCAGGAGAAATGCATCAGCATGAGTTGTATATAGTATAAACCATCCCCAAATGATCCCAAAATGGTAGGTTTGAATCATGGTGCATTATGGTTTATGATTGGGCTTACCACATTAAGCATCAATAATCCGAAACCTATGGAATACTATAGAAACCCATCAATGCAATAGGGATGTCATGAGATACATAACCAGCAGTATAATATTTGGGTGTATCCGACCATGTGGATTTTGCCCCCACTTAAGGCATTTACAAGATGATAAACCGATGCGATTTGCTACCCTCTTTGGTGACAAACCCATGTTCATCTGACAGAGAAATGCATTGGCAAGCAGGTCTGTAAAGTCACGTAAATTGTTTTATACTATCTATACTTGCAGCTGGACTTGGCTTATTATTGTATATAATACAGTATATACGCATTTCTATGATTATATGTATCCGCAATATATATATATATTGACTAGCTGCTCAACTATTCAACGTAAGGTATCGTCATGTAGTCACAAACATGAATATTATTTGCTATAGTGTATATACTGATTGGTGGTTTCAACCCATCTGGATAAATCCTAGTTATTGGGGATCATCATCCCAAATATGGTTGAACAAATATTTGAAACCACCAAGCATATGTGTACATTCATCTGAGCTTCGTAGCGATATCAACTGGACTGCACGAATCTAGGCATCTACGCTGGCACCGTGACTGGCGCCTCAGATCGCTGAAAGACTCGGAGTCGCTTCCTGCGGGAAAAAATCCAGAGTGATTGATATAAAAAAAGGGGAAATACCAAACCAACATGGGGGTTATCTTCAACCATCAACAATAGGAATTTAACCATCAAAATATGATTTAACCATCAACAATAGGAAGTAAGCCAGCAGATACTTACTTCCACTTAGCGGCATTACGGTATTACAAAAAAAAATTGCCCTTACACGAGAAAGTTACTTACACGAGACAGTTACTGAAACGAGAAATAAAAATAAAAAAGTGGAGTAGGCAGCTTCTTTTAAAAAAGTGTTTGTAAAAGGAATGAAGGAGAAGGAAGCATATAACAGTAACCAAAAGGATTGCTAATGTCTCCATGGGTGAAATATCGGATTGTGTGCGCTCAAATTTTAATGCATGTGTGTGCTTTCAGTGACAATGTCATGTCTTCCAACGACAAGAAAATAGCTTCAATCATCGGTCCACGCATTTTTCCTCTTGGACAAACGAGGAATCCAAATATCTACAGCAAGTTTGGTTTGTGCAAGCCACAAACAGGTGAATTAAAGATTGGTTCCCATAGATTGTGAAATCATTTGAATTAGACTCGAATAGGCCGAAGCAGCCATGTGCTGAAGCAGCCATAGCTTGGCCGAAGCAGCCATAGCTTGGCCGATGCAGCCAACATGCTACTTCTCATCGCATTGTTTTTCTTTTTCATTCATCCACTTAACCCCTTTTCTTCTCACAATTTCGATCCGGATAGTGGAAGCAAGCTTGCTTGCCGATGGCCATGTGCTGGTTTGAAGCAGCCTGTACTTCTGGTACAGCTTTTCTACATGGAACCTTTTGAGAAGATCCCTTTGGATGACTTTGGCATCAGGCTTAGTGACTACACTGGGATTGCCACGTCGTCGTGGAAGTTTGGGCGGCGGCATCATTGTCATTGGCATGGAAACGGTCATTTGTAGTTTAAGCCTAGAGCCTAAATGTGCGAGAAACCGCATGTTTCAGAACACGTACAGCAAACATGAGACAAACCGACTGACAACAGGACATGACATCCCCCTAAGTTAAGAGAGTCGACATACATACTTTTTACCTTTCAACCATGTCATGTTTGTGGGAAATTCAAAGCAGCTTTTTTTTCCCGCATGGAAGGCGCAATCAAAACTGCCTATGTGTCCGAAGTGCGACATAGAGGTCGCCTATGGCCGAGGCAGCCACACGGCCGATGCAGCCGTGGTATATGGCCGATGCAGCCACGTCGTCTCGTCTATGGCCGAGGCAGCCCCATCACTTGTCTCCATTAGTCCTCTTCATTGTCATCGTCGTCGTCTCCCAAAGGATCCCAGACGTCGTCGTCTTCCTCGTCATTGTCGTCCTTTTCCTCTTCGCCTTCCTCCTGCTCATCCTTTGATTGCTTGGCTTTGGATTTTGCTTTAGCCTTTGGTTTGGCCTTTCCCTTGCCTTTGGCCTTTGCCTTTACCTTTGCCTTCGGTTTTGCGGTCTGATTCACAGGTGCCTTACCACTGCCACCGCCGACGGCTTCACTGTAAGCTGACGAAAACAAGCTGGACTCAGGGTTTGTCATTTCCTTTTCAAGCAAAGCAAGCAGCCGGTCTTCAAGAAGGCGTTGGTGCTCCGGGTTGAAGGCAACTCCGACATACCCTACCCGATTTCGCAAGGCAGCCCAAGCCATGCGGCCGTCCAGAGGTGTCAGATCGATAATGATCTTCGCGAAAAAGTCGTGGATCAACTCGTCGCAGAGCTCATAGGGTGGACTGTGAAAGCAAACTGGCTCCAAGCCATTGCTGGATCTGCTGTTCTGCTTCTCTTCCTCCTTGTTTTGTGTCTTACCTCCGACAGCTATCATGTGTTTTTTCCCCAAAAGCTCCTTTTTTTCTTTCCAAGGCAGCTGCCACTCAGAAGACCAAGCAGGCATGTGCACGTTGGAAATCAAGTCGCCAGTGGTTGAACCTGCGTAGTGCTTTCTGTCACGGCTTGGCAGGGACAACCTTTTGGATGACAAAATGTGACATGACTCCATCTGCTTCAGAGTGCAAGTTCCACGGAGCCGCTTCTTTCGTGCGGATAGCGACGACTCTGAATATCCAATCATCAGGATGTCTACGCAAAAGGTCGGCTTGTCATCTTCCTCTTCTGCATCTTCTTCTCCATCATCCTCCGCTTCTTCGTCCTCCTCTTTGGTTTTGGCTGTTCCTTCTTTCCATGGGCTGAGCAACTTTTTCATAAGTCCTTTTTTTCCTGCATCGAAAATCAATGCAACTTCCCCTGCCTGAAGGTTGGGGTTGGGAGTGCCCATTGCGTCTTGCCGCGCAGCAAGAACGCTCTTGACAAGCCGGGTGTAGAGGTTTTCACGAAAGGTTGGGGTTCTCAAGTCTGGCCGTGTGGTGGGCTCGCCATATTTTTTCAAATCAAAGTGGAAGAGGGCCATTCCTGTTTGATCTCCGCGCAAGGACATGAAAGGTGTTTCTTTCAAGGCACTTTCCAATTCCACATTGGTGCGGTGATCGGCGACAAATCGCACATGCTGGTTGAGGATCTTGCGCATGTGCTGTCTCCACATGACCTTGTCTGCCTCACTAAGACCATTGTCTTCCACTTCTTCAGAAGCCGGAGCAGCTTCAGAGGCCGCAGCAGCCTCAGAGGCCGAAGCAGCCTCCAGTTCTGTTTCCTGTCTTTCCTCTTCCGTTCTTGCTTTCTGCTCTTCATCGCCATTGAGTCCCTCGGGCTTGTCCTCTTGGCGAGTCATTTTTTCAATGGTTTCCATGGTGGTCTTTAGAGTTGTGTAATTCAAGAAATCTTCCACCTCGTGTTTGCTCTTGATTGCATCCTTGTATCTTGCGTCATAGTGGGATCCAAAGGCAAGTTGATCCAGGAACTCGCAAATTTCAGAAACACTTGGCGGGCAACCCAGCAACCAGGCCGTATCAGCCTGCGTATCAGGGTATGGCGAAATATGCTTTCGCAACATCTCATAGGAGCCGCAGTAGCTCTTGATGTTGTCTTTCCATTTTTTCTCCAGCTTCAAGTCATTCAGCCATGTGTTCAGTAAATGCAACAAAGTTTTGCGCTTCATTTTGAGGACTTCAATGTAGCTGGCCCTTGAATCTTTCAGCTTGCTAATAACAAAGTGTCCACCATCTAGAAAAGACATGCGGACGCCATCCACCATCCCTTCCAGGGACCAGGCAATCATCTCAGGCGTGCCTCCTCTGTCAAGCAATGCTTGCAAGGCGTAAATTGATTTCCAAGCAGACGAAGTGAGCCAGTTTTGGTCACACCATTCCAAAACTGCTTGACACCTGGGGATGCTGAGAAGTCGGCGATGGATGGACAAAGCACAATCGACAAAGCTTTCCGAAATTTTCTCTTGATTCGACGCAAGTTTGAGATGCTGTGTGTACAGAGCTGCCAGCTTTTTGGCACCCAGGCTTGACTCAGTTTTTTTTTTTGGCTTCGTAGAAGCCTGCAATATCAAATATACGCTGGCGCAATGACAACTGAACCGACAAACCCTTTTCAACCATCTCTTCACGAATGTTTTGTGCACGCCAGTAGCGGTCTTCACCAACAGGACAGATTTCGAACACAAAGGTCGCAGTGAGGATGCAACTTCTGAAAGCGCGCAATACTCCAACTTTTGCTTTGCTTTCAATGGCTTCAGCCAGTGCAAACAGCAAGGCGTGTACCGGCTCTGGAGGACTGAGACGTTGGAAACCGTTTTGTGGACGTTGGCCGATGCAGCCAGGGGTTTCCAAAGCGACTGTGATGACAAAGGGGCACAATGACGGCGGTTCATTTTTGGGAAACCAATAGTCTTTGATTTGCTGCACCTGCGCTTCGTTCATAGGCACTTTGTGCGTGGCCATGAAAAGGAAGTCTTGATGGAAAAAATTGGCGGCACACTTATAGACGCCAGCGTTTTTCAAGGCCGAAGCAGCCTGAGTAGCGTCGAGTGCTGCCTCTCTGCCGCCATCTTTGACAGACAAAGGGTCTGCTGTCAATATGTCTTTGAATAATTCGTGTGAGAAAATTCGGGCCAAAGCATCATGCACCTTAATCCAATGAGCCTTGGAGGGACCAAGGTCTGGCTCGCTTTGATCTTCGTCTTCGCAAGGTGCAGGCAAAGCCTTTGTCGTCTTTTGTTTCTTTTTTGGCGGCATGTTTCTGACAAACTTGAGCAGCCAATAGGCACTGGCCGAATCAGCCAGGCACCCCGCCCCAGACTTAAATTTACAGGGAATGAGCTACGAAACAGCTGCGGATTTTAATTGTCTGTCAATACCCAAACTGTTTGACTTGATTCAATACTCTTAGACGGTCCCTTTTACTTGCTGTTTTAAGTTTTAAACTTGAGACTTTAAATTAGCGTTTAAAACTTCCTACGTCTTTAGTCGTCTACTTCCCCATTTCATATCATTATACTTATTTTTAATAATTTAACTCCCCGGATTGGACCAAGACACCTGATGTCCCTGCTTGCTTTTTTCCCCTTTCCACTGTCGCGTTCCGTCGTCATTGACCTGGCCGAAGCAGCCAGTGTCGCACGGCCGTCTTAGCCATGCTGCCGTCTGGCCGAAACAGCCAGTGGTGCTACCGTCTGGCCGAAACAGCCAGTGAAGATTCGCCCTGGCCGAAGCAGCCAGTGAAGGCCAGTCAGCACATGGCCGATTCAGCCATGGTGCTGTGGGCAACTCGACTGCGTGCAGCACCTCCTGCAGCACCTGGCAGGGCAATATGCGCCCGGCTGATTCTTCCCACATCGGCAACATGCTATTGCCGGGGTCATCCGCTGTGCCGTCTGCCCTCCGGTAGCACGGTGCTGCTCGGCACGCTTCATCTTTGCCTGCGTCCAGCTCGAATCCGGACGTCGCCCCCCCCAAGGCGGCGGCCCGGCCGATGCAGCCGGTGCCGCCGGCTGGCTGCCTTGCGCGGCCGAAGCAGCCGCCGCGGCCTGGT